TCCAGGGACACAGCCACCCTTCCAGGGACACAGCCACCCTTCCAGGGACACAGCCACCCTTCCCTGGGACACAGCCAGCATTCCCTGGGCACAGCCACCCTTCCCTAGGACACAGCCACCCTTCCCTGGGACAGAACCACCCTTCCCTGGGACAGAACCACCCTTCCCTGGGCACAGTCACCCTTCCCTAGAGCACAGCCACCCTTCCAGGGACGCAGCCACCCTTCCCTGGACACAGCCACCCTTCCCTGGGACAGAACCACCCTTCCCTGGGACACAGCCACCAATCCTGGGATGCTCCCTGGCCCTTGGGAAGCCGGGGGATGAGGGCACCCTCAGCTCCTGAGCTGTTTCCCACACCCTGGGTGAGAATGGAGGCAAGAGAAAGTCACTGGTTCATCACTCTGGGGCTCCACAAGCTGCTGATCCACCGAATGGGAACTGGGACTGCTGGAAAACAAGGGAGGAAATTCTATTCCTGCAGGCCCCCTGAGCTTCCCCTCAGAAATTCTGAGTCTGTGCTTCCTGACCCTGACTCCCAGACGCTTTCCTGGAAATTCAGTAATGAGGCAGCTCTGCCAGCCACTGTTTCAAAGAACCAGGGAATCCCAGACTGGTTTGGGCTGGAAGGGACTTTAAAGCTTATCCAGTTCCACCCCTGCCATGGCAGGGACAGGATGGTGACACAGGGCCAGCGGGCTCTGGGGGATACCCTGGCTGCGGGGGGTACCTGTGGGGGATACCCTCGGACACCCCTGAATGCGGGGGGTACCTGTGGGGGATACCCTCGGACACCCCTGAATGCAGGGGGTACCTGTGGGGGATACCCTCGGACACCCCTGAATGCAGGGGGTACCTGTGGGCAGAGCTGTGCCAGAGGGAGGGGGCTCTGCCCTTGGAGAAAGCTTCAGCTTCCCGAGGCATCCCCGAGCCAGGAGCCGGCCGGGGGAGAAGGGGCCGGAGTCTGGAGGGCCAGGGGGTGTTCTGGGGCACAGATGGGAATGGGAAGGGGGGCAGAGGGGATGATGGAGAGCTTGAGGCAGGACAGCATTGGATGGGAAGGGGAGAAGATCCCCTGTGGCAGTGCAGGGATGTGTCGGGGACAGCTGGGAAGGGCAGTGGATGTCCCAGCACAGCCACCTGTGGATGGGACACGGCTGCTGTGGGACCTGCCCGGCTCTGAGCCCGGCACAGCTCCTGGTTCCCTCTGGATGTTCCCATTCTGTGCCTGTGCCTTGTTCCCTCACCCTCCCTCACCCCTGTCCTGAGTGCAGGAGCCAGTGAGGGGAGCAGGGACCAGTCCAGCAGCAAAGAACAGCGAGCCCAGAGCAGTCCTGGAGCCTCCTTCCTCCTCCTCAGGAGCTTCCAAACCCACCCAGACACAGCCCTGAGTAACGTGCTCCAGGGGCTGGCTGAGCTCCAGGGTCCCTTGAACCTCATCCATTCTGTGCAGGAATTCTCTTTGTTGCCAGAGGACATTCCCCACCTGCAATCCTCTCTGACCTGCCCTCCCTGCCCGGCCCTTGGCTGCCCCATCTCCTCCCAGGAGAGCCAGGGGTCGCTCCCTCATCCATAAGGATCTCATTGAACACGGGGATGTCCCCACCTCCACCATCCCAGGGACACCACAGCTGCTGGCTGGCACTGCCAGGACAGCTCTGCACCAGCTTCCCTCCATGGAGAGCCGTGGCCCGCAGGAGCACCGAGTGCTGTCCCCGTGCCTGCAGCTGCTGGGGCAGCGCCTGCAGACTGCACTCAGTCCCCAGAGTCCTCGTGGCTTCCCCCTCTTACCCATCACCATTTCACACCCACTCCTCACAACCCAACAGAGAGTTTGTCCCAAGCAGGGGGTGACAGAGGTGACCTCCATGTGCCATTGCCCAGGGGACAGCGATGCCATTGCTGCCCTGGGTGTCACCTCCTTGTCCCATATTCCTCCGCTGCAGGATGGAGCCTCTCAGGCCGGAGTTCTGCAGGCACTGCCCGTGACTTTGGAGGGGCGCTGGAAGGAGATTTCCACCTCTTGTGCTGTCAGGAGCTGCACACCCCCAGGAACCTCGGTGGGGCTGTCTCCAGAGCGTGGCACAGGTGGACAAAGCCCTGCCCTTGGGGTGACTTGGTCTGGTGACTCTGCAAGCCCTGTGGACGGAGCTGGTGCTCCTGGAGTGACAGCCGTGCCCGGTGAGATGTCCCTGCTGCCACCAGCGTTAGGGAGTCCCTCTGGGGGACTCTGACAAGGCGCTGCCACCACAAAGTCTCCCAGTCCATGCAGAAATCTCCAAATTCCCTGGATCCAGCAAAGCAAAACCAGCTCCAGGGGCCAGGGCAGCTTCAGCTTCTGCCAAATCCCCTGGAGAGGGACCCACACCCTCCTGCCCGGATGGAGCGGTGTCCTGGTGGTGTCCCCGTGCCCAGCCCTGTGCCAGGCGGCGTGGGGAGGGCTGGCAGCTGGGCAAACCCGGGCTTTGGGCTGCCTGCTGCCAGCCTGGATGTCCATCAGTCCGAGCGCAAATCCCGGCTCCGCGCGTCACCCGCTCCATAAATAAATAGGTTAAATAAATAAAGTGACAGATCCGGATCAGGGGGGCGGAGGAAGGGGAGGAGGAGGAGGGAGGGAGGGGCAGCCACCCTGGCCCGGGGCCGTCCGTGTCTCACAAACACACACAAAGTAGCTGAGGACCAGGACGAGCTGAGCCTGCTGGGCCGGGCCCCCCTCGGGGACTCAGTCCGGGCCGTCCGGGCCGTCACTCCTGGGCCGGCACTGGGGCGGAGCACGGGGAGCTGGAGGCGAGGGACACGTGGGTGGTGGAGGATGGCAGCGACCGCGGCGTCTGGCACCTGGGGACACAGAGACACTCTGGGTCTGCTGCCCGGCTGTTCCTTGCCCCCCTCCCCAAAATCCAGCCCCTTTCCTGGCCATTTGCTGCGCAGGCAGCACTAAAGGGCACCCCTTGCTGGGTGGGAGGAGACCTCGGGTCTGGGATACAGGAATATCATGGAATCATGGAATGGTTTGGCTTGGGGAGATCTTACAACTCATCCAGTGGCACCCCTGCCATGGCAGGGACACCTCCCACTGTCCCAGGGTCCAGCCTGGCCTTGGGCACTGCCAGGGATCCAGGGGCAGCCCCAGCTGCTCTGGGCACCCTGTGCCAGGGCCTGCCCACCCTGCCAGGGAACAATTCCTGCCCCAAATCCCATCCAGCCCTGCCCTCTGCCACTGGCAGCCATTCCCTGGCTCCTGGCCCTCCAGCCCTTGTCCCCAGTCCCTCTCCAGCTCTCCTGGAGCCCCTTTGGGCCCTGGAGGGGCTCTGAGCTCTCCCTGGATCCTTCTCCAGGTGAGCACCCCCAGCTCTCCCAGCCTGGCTCCAGAAGGGCTCCATGGAGCAGCTCCCAGCTCCTCTGGGCTCTCTCCAGCAGCTCCACGTCCCTCCAGCACAGAGCTCCACACGATGCTGTTCCATAGCACAGCCTCAGCAGCATTCCCAACTCTGCCCACAGCCAGCAGCTCAGGGGCAGGCTCAGCCCCGCTGGGACAGGGCCTTTCCAGCTCTGCTGTGGCTCCTGTGCCTGCCCCAAGCCCCAGTGGCTCCCACAGCAGGTCCCGGGCACTCACCAGGAGCGGGATTTGCGCACGCGGGAGGCCGCCGGCCGCTCCAGGAGACTGTCCAGGTGCATCAGCCTCTCCAGGTGCAGCGCCCGCGGGTCCTGCTCCGCCGGGTCCCTGCTGCGCTCAAACTCAAAGATGGCCGGGGGGGACAGGTCCAGCTCCAGGAACATGATGTTCTCAGCCTGCCCAGGGCACGGTGACACGGGAGTCACCAGCTCTGGTGAGCCACGCTGCCGGGACGGCTGCTGCCACCCCGGGGAGCGGAGAGGCTCTGGGCTCAGGGCTCTGCTCCGGCTCTCCCAGCACTCAGCAGCCCCATCCTTTCCAATGGCAGCAGCTGCCAGAGCCACAGAGCCAGGAGCTCCAAGACTGGAGCTGGGAGGATAAAGCTGGGAGCTTGAACTGGCGTATCCCAGATCTCAGGAGCTTGTTTACTCCAGCTTCTCTCCCAGTGTTATCCATCCCTCCACCCACCCACTCACTGCCTCCATCCATCCATCCATCCATCATCTATCATCCATCCATCCATCCATCATCCATCCATCAACCATCATCCATCCATCATCCATCCATCCATCCATCCATCCATCATCCATCCATCATCCATCCATCATCCATCCATCCATCCATCATCCATCCATCCATCCATCATCCATCCATCCATCCATCCATCCATCATCCATCATCCATCCATCATCCATCCATCCATCATTCATCATCAATCCATCCATCCATCCATCAATCCATCCATCCATCCATCCATCCATCCATCATCCATCAATCCATCCATCCATCCATCCATCCACCCCATTTATCCAAGACCTTCCCAGCCCCTGGCACACCCCAGTGTCCCCTCACGTACCCGGAAGCGTGGGTGGGATCTCCTGGCCATGGCCACCCGTGCGTACTGGCTGATGGGTCTCTTGTAGCCCACAGCAGAGGTCGGTCGCCTCTTCATCTGGGAGCTGTTCCTGGAGCACACGGAGCGGGGAACGTGACCCAACTGCGCCACGTCCCAGGGGACCGAGGGAGCTGCGTCGGCGAGGGAAGGGCGGCCCTTCCCATGGGGCTGGGCTTGGAGGGGATTCCCACCCATGGGAACCTGCAGGAGTCCCAGACACCCCGGCCCTGGGGCCACTCGTGAGCATTGGCACGGACGGGGACAGGGACACAGGGATGGGGACAGGGACAGGGATGGGGACAGGGACACGGGGATGGGGACAGGGACATGGGGACAGGGACACGGGGACAGGGACACAAGGGATGGGGACAGGGACAGGGATGGGGACAGGGACAGGGATGAGGACACAGGGATGGGGACAGGGATGGGGACACAGGGATGAGGACACAGGGATGGGGACGCGGACAGGGACACAGGGATGGGAATACAGGAATGGGGACAAGGGCAGGGACACAGGGACAGGGACACAGGGACGTACCCTCCAGTGGGAACCAGTGGCTGGAATTTCCACTGGTCCTCATCGCTGTCGAAGTACAGGCGGTTCATGATCTTGTTCTTCTCCTCGGGAGGGATGAAGTTCTCGATGATCAAGTACCTGAGGGATGGAGCAGGAGCAATGGGGAAGGAGCAGGAGAGGAAGGAGTTAATGTGACAGGAGACAGAAAACAGCCAGAGGAAAGGCAGGAAGAGGAGGAGACATCACAGGGAGAAGAAACATCCAGAGATGAAAATGGGATGGAAGTGGAGAAGTTGAAGCAATAGATACAGCCACAGTGAGGGGAGAGGCAGGAGAGGACAGGCATCGGAGAGGAGCCCTGGCAGCTCTGGGGCTCCAGGCAGGACCAGGACCCCTTCCCTTCTCTCCTCCCATGTCTGCTCCCTCTGAAAATCAAGGAAAGCTCAACAATGCCAACTGGACCCCAGAGGGAATCTCTCTTCCCATGTTTTTTGGGTCAAGTTGAGCAGCTGTCAAAAACTGTTTTGAGACAACAAGTTGCATCAGTGAGCTGTGGCTTCCAGCCAGAACCATGTCAGAGGAGAGAAGGGGCAAAGCTGGAGAAAGAATTGTTTGGAGTGAAACTGTTCCACCCTGAAAATGCTGAAGTGCTTATAAATATCTGGGGGGGCTACAGGCTCTGAAAGAGAGGAGTGTTTGAAGCGAGAACAAACCCCCGGGGGCGGTGGAGCAGCAGCTGCAGTCGTGGGAGGCTCCCGGAGGGAAAACTCTGCCGGTGCCAGCAGAGCTGGGGTCACCCGAGTCCTGCAGAGCTGCTGTCCCTCCCAGGACGGTGTGGGGGCCCGGCAGGTCACCAGGTGCCCTCGGGAGTCGCTTGCCCCCGGCCACCACTGCCACCTCCCAGGTTCAGCCACAGCCAGGGTTTCTCCTGGAACATTTCATGGCTTTTCCCCTTTCTCAGCCGTGCTTGGACACCCCCTGGACTTATGGATGCTAAATCTAAACCACAGTGCCTGTACAAATTACAGGCCGCATGGCTCCTCGGGCTGCCTGAGAAAATAGCCTGGGAAAAATATAAGAAGGAATTAAAACAATTCTCAGGGACACTAAACAGCCTTGCAGGTGTTGTTTTGCAGTTTTGTTTTCTCTTGCAGGAGAAGGCCAGGGGGGTGATGGGCCCCCCTGACCAATGATGGTGATGTAGCACTTTGTTAACCAATAAGAGTTTCCTTTCTGTACCTTCCCACGTATCTGTCTATAAGACAAGCCTGAAGCAATAAACTAGAGAATTCTCGTGTTGAAACTCCCTTGAAAGTTTGTGTCGTTCTTCCCAGCCATTCCCAATCGGAACGACATGGACTGACCCAGCACACAGCTCCCAGGGACCACACCTGGTGCCACCACTGAGAGCTGGGCAGGCCCTGGCTGTCCCTGTCTCTGGGTGGGGTCAGTCCCTGCAGTCCTACCCCCACTCTGAGCCCCCCAGGCCTGCTCTGAGCCCTGAGCCCTGCTGTGAGCCCCCCAGCCCTGCTGTGAGCCCTGAGCCCTGCTCTGAGCCCCCCAGCCCTGCTCTGAGCCCTGAGCCCTGCTCTGAGCCCCTGAGCCCCCCAGCTCTGCTCTGAGCCCCTGAGCCCTGCTCTGAGCCCCCCAGCCCTGCTCTGAGCCCCTGAGCCCCCCAGCCCCGTTCTGAGCTCCACAGCCCTGCTCTGAGCCCCCCCACCTCTACTGTGCACACCCAGTTCTTCAGGGCCACCCGGACCCTGGTGACCCCCAAGCACCTCACAAACACCTACTTGAGCTTCAGCTCCCTCGTCTGCTCGTTCTGGGCCTCCTCCAGGTCCTGGCGCACACGGATGTACTCATCGTGCTGGTCCTGGATCTCGGCCTTCACAGCCTGGAGCTTGGCGTAGAGCTGCGAGGGGGAGCGGCACCTCAGCCCCGCACCCGGGGCCGGGGAGCCCTGGGGAGGGACATCCTCAGCCCTGGCCCCGTCCCCACCCGACATGCTCTCACCTTCTTCAGCTTCTTGGTTTTGATCTCCACCTCCTGCTGCAGGGACGTGAAGGTCTCCCGCAGCTCCATGGTCTCCTCGTCCCTCAGCAGCATCTCCTGCTGCATCTCGCGCTCCCGGCGTTTCTGCGGCGCAGGGACACGGTCGGAGCCGGGATGGGGAGCGGCCCCGGGACCCCCCTGTCACCCCCCCGGTACCTGCTCGGCGATCTCCTGCCGCCTCAGCTCCAGCATCTTCTGCTGCTCGTTGGTGTGGTCCACAATGGTCCTGCCCCCGATGAGCAGCTTGCTCTCCATGGCCTGGAGGGGACAGGGGGGTCCCAGGGGGGCAGCAGGTCAGGGGAGGGCTCCCCACCCGCGGGGCTTTGCCCCAGGCCAGACTGGATGGTCACCCTGATCCCTGATCCCTGCTCCCTGTCCCCATCCCTGCTCCCTGTCCCCATCCCTGCTCCATGGGAGGTGGGAGTGTTCACGATTAGATTGGATACTGGGAACAATTCCTGCATGGAAAGGGCTCTCCAGCCCTGGCACAGCTGCCCAGGGCAGGGGTCCCCATCCCAGCAGGGGTTCAAAGCCCTGTGGATGTGGCATTTGGGGACAGGGCAGTGGTGGCCCGGGCAGGGCTGGGGGTGGTTGGGCTCCTCACACAACCCCACGATTCCATGGACAGCCGGCAGCTTGGGCCCGCCCCAGCACCACTGGCACAGCAGCAGCAGCTGGGGGGGTGCAGCTGCCGCATCCCCTCCCGGAGCCCTGAGCCCGGGGTGCTCCGGACCCTGCCTTGTGCACAGCCGGGAATCCAGCGGTGCACACAGCCGGGAATCCAGCGGTGTGCACACAGCCGGGAATCCAGCGGTGCACACAGCCGGGAATCCAGCGGTGCACACA